AAGATGTTTGTGTGATAGGGTTTGAATATTCAACGTCTGAGTTTTAACAAGCGTATACAATCCATTAGATGATTCTGAAGATGATCAGTTCTACGGGCACGGTTAATTGGAGTGCATATCCAAATTTAATTTTATCACGTATGTAGTGAGTACTGTTACGGATATTGTTTTGCAAGTGTACGTAACATTGGATTCATCAACGTCTTTTGCACTCGCTGATTCATATTTGATTGAACTACACGGAAGGCAATCTGTGAAGTTTACTAACGACTGTTTGGATGAAGAGAGGTTAAAACATTCATGCAAGCTGTTTAGTTATTAATCCCGATAGAAACATTCGACGGAAATTGTATGTCAAAATATCCGTATTCAAAAGTACATTGTTGTCTGTCGTACACCGTTTGATCTGCGTCGTATCTCATGGTGAACAAGTAGAGAAACTAGCCTCACAATAATTACTGCGATGAAATCTGTTCAGATTTTGCAGTGTAGGAAGCGTGATGAATAAACTATGCCAGTTAACGTGTACTTTTACAGAGTGTAGACATTTCTTACCTAAACCCAGCGTTCCTATTTCAATCATGAAAGTTTGATATTCAGTGATATATTTAGCAAGCAACGTGGTAATCATGTTTATATTTTTCCTCCATAACTCTATCAGCACGTGAAGAGCCAGCATGAACCATTACAACATTCGCTTGACCATAGACAAAATCCGCCTCTTGGAATGCACAATTCACAATGACCATAAAACAGATCCGTCAAACGGCAAACGGTTGTCTCGCAGCATGGCTTTTCCCAGAATAATTTTCGGCAAAACCCTCCCAGGTCTACGCATGTATCGTTGTTTCTAGTCAGGGACGAGAGTGTATCTAAAAATTGGAAAACATGATGATAAATTTCGAAGGGAATGTTAGCACGCGATTTAAACGGAGGCTGTTGATTGTCACACTAGTCATAATGAGATAAAAACTGACAGCAATATTAGGACGGAAGCAGTGCCTGTGCGACCTGAAGCGTACCTTCTAATAAATACACTTTGTCAGATTATGAATTGTTAGTCTTTGTGCTGTAAAGTTATTGTTGGTTAAATATATGGGCCAGGCAGTTGACAAATGCAGGTTTTGGGGGGTAGTTGTATCGGGCCATAACAGATGTTTCTCTTCTCTGCTCAAATGACTAGTGTGACGTGAATTCTTTTCAAATAGAATATGTCCGATCCTACATGGAAGTTAGAAAAGCATAAATTCTTCTTTACAAAACTGAATCATTTTTTTAGCAAACGAACATCTGCATTAAGTTGGTTCACTCGTTGATTCAAATTTTGACATAATTCCTCAATGGCTTG